TCACTTCTTTTTAAACTCTGAATCCTTCGATATTCTTGATATGACGAATCATTAACTTTATCGTTTTATTTTAATTCCCAATCTTTTCTTATTCTTCTTTATTCTCGTTGCTCATGTTCTCAGAGTCCTTAAATAATTCTCAATCAGCTGTTTCCTCCGGTGACAACAATTAACAATCCTGTTTCCACCAGGATACAAATTCATACCCAAAACCAGGTAGTCGTCTCGACCCCTTGTCAGAAGGAAATTTCCTTTAACTTGCATAATCCGAAACATCTTTTCCAAATGGTTAAACCGTTACTTCGCTCTCTCAGGTTCATCATTTCATAAGGTGATTCAAATTCGACTCATAATCCGTCTTAAAATGTCCCTTTTTATAATAGACTGAATCACCATAATAATAGTTTTCCCTAAACCGCTATATTAGGGAGACTAAATTCCTCTAACTAAGTGGCTTACTACGAGGCGGTGTAGTTCTGACAGAATTCACTAGAACTTCTCAAGATGTCCAAGATTGCAACCATGCTCTGATACCAACTGACACACCCCGTCCCGAAGGAGGGCATGCTGGCCGTCACGTGAGAGTGACGTAACCATTTACACAGTACGGAAGCTTTAAGATACAATTTATAAGTTGATACACCCGAAGGTGAGTCCTAATTTTGTCCAATCTGTCAGAACACCGTCAAATTCCTCGTAGTCACCACACCTTTGTGATTCCTGAACCTGGAGGGGCGCAAAACCAAAATTGAGTGGGTCAGTAAAACAATTCTTTTCAAATCCAACTTTTCTCAAAACATTGTAACCCCTCTCCGTAAAACCTGTATACTTTCCCAGAAATATAAAATATAAATATACATATATATATTCTCAATACTTCAAGTCATTAACTCAACATTTTCATCATAATTATGCCATGCCACACATCATCTCAACATTTCTCATATTAATTATGCCATGCCACATCATCTCAACAGTAATAAGGTATGAATGCATCAACATAAATCATATCAGGTGCAATAAAGTAATCAACCGGAGGCCCTCTATTAGCCCGGTTGAACCTAGAGCTCAAAATCTATCACTCTCACACTCTGCCGGAGTCACTCCGCGTGACCTGTACGGCCTTCTGCACACAAGTTACGCTCTAGTGCTTTCTCATCAATCATCTGTGCACATAATCTAAGGTCACCCACCAGTCGGAATCTCACTAACACTCTCGCGACTGGCCTGTCGTACCCACTCCGCGTGGACTGTACGACTAGCATCTACTTGGATCCAAGACGAGCGTGCGATGCGGTGAATACTATAAGCACTAAACTATGGTGCAGGATTTGAGCTCAATATACATCAACATCATCATAACAGAAATAAATACTCACCTGTGCGTCCACCGCACCATTTTCATACATATGCATCATAAATCAATTCTTACCTGTGCGTCCACCGCATCAATTCATACATATGCATCATATATTAATTCTTATCTGTGCGTCCACCGCACCAATTCATACATATGCATCATATATTAATTCATGCATGGCATTTCAACTCACATTTCTATATACTTTTCATATCAATTCTATGCATGGTATTTCACTTCCCGTTTTTCCACATAACTCATATGCATTTCATTTTAAACATATTTTCATTTCAATTCAATTTCTGGGAAACGTCAAAGTATATATATATACGGAAAACAAAACTGCCCACTCACACAGAATACATCGACGTGTCGAAGGTCCCTGAGCCTCCCTTAGCCATGCCCAACGTCCGTATAATCCTCGCCTATACGAGAAGTAACCAAATTAACATTATTTAACGCATAATCCCACTCTTAGCTAATAACTCCTCATATATTGCTCAAATTGGGTATATGAATATACCACGGTGATCTACTCGACGTCACGGACGTCGACATATTTTTAGAATTAATTTTTTACTGTAGCACGCGCCCCCACGCGCCAAGGAAGGCACGGGTCCACGCGCCCCCACGCGCACCTTCTTCTTCCTTGGGTCGCCGGACTGGTTTTTCCGGCGGCCGTTTTTTTCAAATTGCCATAACTTTGTCATTTCTCAACGAAATCAAGTGATTCAAAAACGAAAGTTGTAGCCCTTGAAGAGACAAAGAGAATGATACCTTGCACAACACCTAGTTCGCCGTGTTTTGGCCGGAAACTGCCTCGAAAGCCTCAGAGGTCGCCGGAAACTGGGTATTTTTCAAATGAGTATAACTTCTTCAATACTCAACGAAAATTGAGTGAAACAAAAAGGAAAGTTGTAGTACTTGATGAGAGAAGAAGATATTTGATACCTACCTCGACTCCTAACTCGCCGGGGATTCGCCGGAAAATGCCTCGAAAGTTCCGGCCAAACTTTGAACTTGTCGATCTCCGTGTTCTTACGTCCAAAAACTTCCAACGAAGCACTCCGAGCTTCCTTGGGACTTCCTTAAGCTCACTGTGAGCTTAGTTTGGCCTAAAACACAACCAATTCAAAGCTCATGAACAGTACACTTTCACGGGGAGTTTAGAATCTAGGTTTTCCGAAGTAAAACTTACCTGAAATTGGTGTCTACGTGATCGTGGAGGTTCCAGGAGTTCGATGGTGGTCTTAAATGGAACGTTGGTACAAGATTGTGGTGGTTCTTGGTGGTTGCCGTGAGTTCGAGAGTAAGAGAGAGAGTCTGAAATGATAGAATAAGAGAGAGAGAGAGAGTGACTAAGGAGATGAGAGAGAGACAACAAAACGGGTTTTGGGGAAGGATTTCAGGGTATAAGGCCCTACCTTAACCCATATAATATTAACACATACAATTACACACCTTAATCCCGTTTAAGGGTATTTCTGTAATTTCACGTCCTCGGAATTAAAATTCCGGGACGGGCTGTGACATTTTATTTCTACCCATAATTTATTTAATAATGTACCCATTTTTCTTTACAAGTGTACCACTTTCTTATATGCAAAATGTATCCTTTTTTTTTTGGTAAGTACCATGTTTATGTAAAATGTACCCATTTTTTTAATATAAAATCTATTTTTTTAAAATCTAAAATGTACCATTAATTTTTTTTATGTAAAACGTACCCATTATTTTTTTAATATAAAATGTACCCATTTTTTGTTATATAAAACGTTTCCCTATTTTGTATTAAATGTATCAATTTGGTATGTAAAATGTACCCACATTTTAATATGGAAAATGTAGCCAAATTATATTATATACATGTACTCATATTTTATAACCATAAGCAATTTTGAATAATTGGTGTAAATGAAACAAAAAAACAGTTGAGTATTTATTAGTATATTATTGCATCTCTTTTATTATTATGTCATTTACGTGGCAGGAGAGGGACTTCAATAAAAAAAAAAATCTAAAATGCATAAGGTGAGTCTATAATAGTTAGAAACTAGAGACCGCAACTAAACTATCCCTATTTGTTTTCTCAATCCTAAAAGAAAGTTTCAAATTTGACTCACTCATTTTTCACATACTTCATGTTAAATCTTCTTTTACATAATAGCGTTTGTTGTAGCGCGTAAAATATTCTCCTTAACATTTTGTTGTAGCTATTTGGGTTATAACACCGATTGTTTTTTATCGATCTATTGATACTTTTCTTCTCGAAATTGAAAAATAATTCAAGTTCGGACCAACAATGTTTTTTGTATATTTAGATTTGTATCGGATCTCTCTTACATAATAGTGTTTGTTGTAGGAAGTGAAATATTTCTTCCCGTTAAGAACAAAAAAAGGTTACTACTTAGTCCAATGGCTAAAGCTCTACCAGGTTGTTGCAGACTGAACTCTTCTATAGGCTCAGAGTTGTTTTGAGGTAGGATGGCTCAAAGTTGCTCGTAATTAACATCAAGGTTCTCCTTTTAGGATCAAGCTACAACAAGCCAAGCTCGCGACTTTAAATAGAAACAAACGGTAAGCTCTTTGCCCTATTTGCTTGCAATTTTATGCCTTATCAAAAAAAGTTGCCAAACACATCCATAACCTTAGACTCTTGAGATATACCCCTTGTTCAAAAAGGATTACATTTGTTTCCTCTTGTTTTTTTATTTGTTCATACTATGTCTGTTTTCTCTTGTTAAAAAATATGTACTTCTCTTGTTAAAAAATAATGTTAATACTGAATACATATTCAAAATGGTAAGTTAGATTGTTCAAATCGAGATGCAAAACAAAACACACCACAAACCTGGATCTACAAGAATGGCTATGTAGGTAAGAGGTCAGTGTTTGTCACTTTGAGTTCTGCTTGAAATTTGTGTATATGTTCACGTACAAGTTGTTATTCGCCTATAAACCGGGTTCTGGATTCTTCCCTCAAACTGTGGCATTAGTATTGTAAAGCTAGTCTAAAGTAGATTTAGGAACAAGGTGGTGGGTGGGGTAAGAAGGTAGATGAGTTGTATAGGGAAGGAAGTGCAGATGACTTGATCCTCTTTTTTGGAGCTTCTATGGATCAAGAACAATGAAAAACAAACAACTATAAAATCATTTTAAGAGATCATGTTGCAAGTCTGTTGTCTCCAAATTTTATGTCCCCTCCGTGTCTCTTCTCTAGAGGAGAGATCTACCAAGGCCACCGGATCAAGTGATTCGGGCATTTGAAATTTCATCCAACGGCCAAAGATTATTATAGCTTTTAAGGGGTCAAAACAGGTGAGCCGTTGGATGAAATTTCAAAAGTTAGGATCACTTGATCCGGTGACCTTGATGGAAGAGATTCTCTCTAGATCTCTTCTCTCTTCTCTAAATGTTTGACACAAATAATAAAGTTAATAATGTTGACCCTTTGGTAAGTTGAAAGACATATGTCAAGCAATTAGAGAAGAGACATAAAAAAGATACAAAGTTTGAGACATGTGACCCCCACATTTAGTTAGTACTCATACAAGTTAACAATAGCATAAATAATAATAAAAAATTAAAAACAAAAGTTAACAATAACATAAATAATAAAAATAAATTAAAAACAAAATAATTATCAAACGTTTTCTAAAATTTATAAATCGAATCAAAATTAGTCGAAAAGTACAAGGAAATATGTGGCAAAGGGAGCTCGAGCACATAGCTTGAATTGGGTTCTAAGTAAGAAAAGCTTTTGACTTGTTGCTTCTACTGACACCATATAGGCCTTTCAACTATACACACCCAAGAACTCCAATGGGGCTCTGATCCCATACGCCCCAAACCTTCAAAAAACCTATATGTTGGATTAAACCAAATACAGAAGAAATCCACATACATTCACCCCAAACGTTTCAGACACCAAAAAGTGCTTAAACAGCAAGCTGCTTTTGATGGGTGGATTCATCTTCATCAAAGGAGCAGTGAAGCTTTAAACGTCTTGCCAAATCCACAGGAGAATCTGCAAATTGTAGAGGAGATTGCAGCAGCATTTCTCTCTGAAGGTAAGAGCAGTAGGTGTAATATGTCGCCGGCGTCACGTTCATTTGGAACCCTAATCCGAACAAGAAGTCCACCTCAAGAAGGTTCATCTCTTGTGTGCTGATCCCTCCAACTCTGGCATAAAATGCATTGTTGTAGTAACTGCAAGAAACAGATGTAGATAAAAAAAATATTAATTACACTTTCTAACCAAATATTTTCAATAATTGCAGTAATAAATTAAATTAAAAACCATAAATTAGAGATGCTAATCTTTGCTGTTCTATTGGACCACTATATGAGTTTATATAGGACCAAAGATTAGCTTATAATTTAAGGCAACATATATATATATGACTGATGAGAAGCAAAGACAAGTGGATTTTGTTAACTTTTGGCAATCCATACAAACATCCACATGGCTTTTGATTGAGCTGTCAGTAGCATCAATAATGATGCCAGCTGTCGTTTAATCTAGTAAACTTTGCGATGAGAAAACATGCAATCCTTCGTATATTACTAATTCACGTGTAATTCTATGAGCAAACGACTACGTAACCGAAAAATTAGAGACTTTTAAGGGCATAGACAGCAACCCAGATCTTTCGGTAGGCTGTCTAGTAAAAGAGTGGAGGCATTCACATGGCTACTGCTATCCTCCTTTTCGGCGGTGGTTGCTTCCAAACGGGGACGTCATTACCCATAACAACAACAATTAAGCCGTATCTCATTAAATGAAGTCGGCTGTATCAATTTTGGAACGTCACTGCGCCCACAAAAGTTTTGCGCAAGTCTAATATGAACTGTCTCATTTTCCTAAATTATGTCACAGAATTAAGAAGAAGAAGAAGAAGAAAAGAATGCAGGACTGTGATCACAAACGTTGAACGTGAAACATTACCTAATTTCCACCAAAAAACACTTTAATTTTCTACTTAAAATATTGAAATGTAATTTCCTAAAGAACCATATCCAGAAGAAAAAAAATTATTTAAAAACAGAGAGATCGTAAGAGTATTAATTCACCAAATTTTGGGTAAAAAAAAAGCTTGAATCTTGAAACACCCATATAACAAAACCCAGTTCAAGAATTAAAGAATTAGTTTTACCCACAAAGAAAAAAGAATCAAAACTTGATTAATTTGAGCTAGTTTAATTAACCCATTTAATTAAGTAAACAGAACCCAGTTCAACAAATAAACAAATTAGCATTCCCACACAGAGGAAGAATCAGACGTTGATTAACTTGAGCTAGTTCAGTTAAACCATTTGATTAACTAAACAAAATCCAGATTAAATCCAACCCAAAAGATGAAATCTTTGAAAGAATCAGAGTAATAGAAAACAACCCAATTCAAGAAATCGAAAAGGAAAAAAAAAAAACAAGAGAAAGTTTACATGTCGTCCATGAACTTTGCAGAGACCAAGACGCTGGTGATGAGCAAGCGATGGACATTGAAGGAATCGATGGGCAGCAATGGCTGCATCTGAGTGAACCGGTCGAGGTAGACGTAGGCGACGATGAAGCAAGATGGGCTGCAATCGGCGTAATTGAAGATCCTCTGGAGGTAGCTGTGGATTGAGATGGTGGGCGTGGTCAGGGAGTGGAAGACCGACAGCTTCTGGGTCCGGTGGAACCGCCGGTTCAGGTCGTTGGACTTGGAAACCCGCTCGAGGACGGAGGACATGAAGGCTATCATTCTTGGCATGGATTCTGGGCTCGTCGTCGTCGCCTCGAGCTGATCAGCCATTGCTGTGTTTAATTTGCTCTGTTTTTTTCTGTTAGTTGCAGGTTATATACAGGCTTTTCCTTTTCTTTTTTTTTTTGTTATTATTTTGTTTTATGTTTTGCTGTGTTACTTGTATGAAGGGTTACATTTTCCTATTTAACTTTGGTTTAGAGAAAGATTCAACGACTAGTAATTCCATTAGGAAAAATAAAACCGAATCCTTAGGGAAAAAGGAAAATATGAAATTTAAATAAAATTTAAATAGAAGGAAAATAATCAAATTACAAGTATGTAATAACATTTACGTCTTCGGAGAACATAAACATTTTTTTTCAATAATAAAGGGATTAAGTGGTGACTTCGCTACAATAGTTCACTCTTTTGGGGGTCCAAAATATTTACTAAGGCATTTTAATTTTCTCCTATTCATCATCTTGTGATTCACCAGCGCAAAGAATCAAATACAGAACATGTTGTGTGTAATACGGGCTTGAACTTCATCCCCAACCGAGCTACGGCACGATGGTTAAAGAACATAAACATCCTTTAAGATTACATTAAGGTCGCAACATTTTTTTCACAATTCCACTACCTTTGACAGATTAGATTGAAGTGTAATACTAAATGTTGTTAATCATTTTGACTTCAAATTTAACTCAATTCTCTCCGATTCCTAAAAAAAAAAAAAACTTGTCGTATATGACTATGGAGTCAAGTACAAAGTGATTCTGCATTTTACTTTAATAGTCATGTATGACACTGAATTTGACTCCAAATTTTATATTTGGCTCTTATCTGATGTGAATTTGAGATGATATAACATTTAAAGTCAAATTTGACTCAAAAAATAACTTTATAACTTGAACTATTATATTGAAGATAGTCTTAAGATTCGTTTGAAAGTACTTTTAAAATTATTGAAATTGCTTTTGGTGAAATTGCTTTTGGGTTTCAAAAGTATTCTAAGTGTTTTTTTGAAAGAAGCACACACTAGATAAGTGCTTCTTGCAAGAAGCACTTAAAAGTACTTTTTCATGAACCGCTTGAATTTTTGCAAATGATTGATTTCAAAAATATTTCCATCAAAAACTCTTATAGTCATCTTAAAAACATTTCCAAACGGGCTATTAATTAAAAGTCTGCATGCCCTTACCGGGTTAAGAAAAATACAAGCTTGAATCAAATTGTCTAAAATCATTGGTTCAATTTGCATTCAAGCTGGCAATACTCATTTAAAAAGCAGTGCAATCCCCATTACTTGATGCTTTGGATATGGAAGTCACACATTGGAGATTTGAGTTGAAATTGGTTCTAAAAATAAAATTTTAATCAAATTTTAGAGAAAATGAAACTGATGACAAAATAATTTATGTACCTAATTGAATCTTTTGTAAGTTTAAGATTTGGTGGAAAATTTTTCAATGTGCTCGGAAGATAGAGAAGAATGCCAAACTAAAAAATCTCTTGTTGGGTGGGTGAAAACAAAAAACAGTAATCCCCTTATTTCTGAACCAAATCCAAGAAGTAAAGGTGAAGACATTGGCCAAACTTCCTATGAAATTCCAGCTGCAATAATTTCTGAATAGGTCTTCTTTTCCACTCTTGGTAATTGGTATGAACTTTTAATCATCACCCACATTGCCACCTTTCCTTACCAAACAAACAATACACACACACACACACACGGAGAGGGATTATATGGCACCACTCTTTCTACACAACCCTTTACACATTTTTATAGGACACACTCGGTAATGTATGTAATAATTCGAACCGTTTATGTTTTAGAACATCATTCATAGATCATTCTTGCAAAAAATTAGACATATTCAGAACCATTAAAACATTCATTTATAGTGAAGAAAATGAACGAATATGGTTCTACACCCTAACCCCTTAATCCAACAATCATATGATTTCAGATTTTGGTGATTGTTGGTAGACATGATCTATGAATGATGTTATAAAAGATAGACGGTTCGGATCGTCGAAATACATTACAAAGTGAGCCTCACAAAAACGTGTGTCAACAATTATGTAAACAAAATAGTGTTATGAATCCATCCTATATATATATACAAAATTAATCTTGATCCCCATAACCTAAAGTGCGATTGCATGCAATTAAATCCTAGCTAACTTGTATCTGCTGGCTTTTCTTGCTTGACAGCTTTGTATTGAAACAGCTACATATTTTCTTGGTTGGCAACTTTGTTTCTTGCATTGGCCCTTGGCATTGCACAAAAGTTTCTATGGCCTCTGTGGTGGCAGTATATATCATGGCATATATATATAGTTTGGATAATTGAAATATAATACCAAATAAATTTTAAAATAGTCCTGTTGCAAAATTGAGAGTCGCTTGGAGTTACATGTATATATTTAACCTAACAAAAAAATAGTCCTAATAGTGTTCACAATCATTAAGCTGATTAAAGGAGGACTGAAATGTTGGTTTTGTTGATTAGGGTTAATTAATAGGGCTAATAACAAGTAATAATTAACCAGCAAACTACTAATCACTGCAGTTAATTAATCAACTTGTTGCTTTCTTTGTAGACCCAGTCCAACTATATGCATACCCCACGATGGACCACGATTTGATGGTTATGCGATCTGAAATATTAATTTGTTCTATATGTTGTCATTTATTTTATATATTTATATATATATATATATATATATTTTTTTTTTTTTTCTGATGTTTTGGCTCTTGTGTGTGTTGATTAAGGGTGCACACTTAGGTTTTGATTCTAAAATATAAGTGAATTTCACCTAATAGTTATAAACTTATATTTACAAGTAGTGGAGGTTGCTAGTCACAATCGTATTAAGTAAATTCCTGACAAGAGTATCATGCAGTTCATAGTTATGAATGTCTTGTCAATACTTATGATTTTCATAGAACTTAATGATCTTTGAGATGTATCTCTATTATGCAGTTCATGTAGGGAACTTGATAAGAATAATTTGGTTGCGTCGCTGAGTCCAATTCAATGAATTTAGGAAAATCTGAAAGTTAATTTGTGCTTCTCACGATTAATTTGGGGCATTTCATTCATGGTTTATAGGAAGAATAATTGGAAATCGATTTGTATGCATATGTGTCATGTGTGGAGAAGGACCCTCTAGCTAGCCATTCACCCATTAAATCACCAATTTCGTCCAAAGTTATTTAGAGTCTTAAATCTGTTTAGTTTTAGTCTTAAATTTGTCAAAAACCAACTCTCCCTTTATATTTCGTGTTTTTAGTTAGAATATGTCCAAAACTGGTTTCTTTACATTGTTTTGAGTCTTTTTAGTTCAATTTTCGTCCAAATTACCCTCCAGTTCTTGTTTTGAGTCAATTTAACTTAGTTTTGTGTTATTTGAGTCAGTTGAGCTTGTTTTGAGTTGTTTGAGTTTAGTTTTCAGTTTTTGGGTTTAATTTGTGTTGATTAGCATCCTTAACTAAAAATAAAAAATTAGAATGTTCAGGAGAGAGACTTCCATGTGGAAGGGATCCATCTATGACTTTATACTAATAATTCGAAACGCTACAGTGATGGATAACTTGCTTTAGATAAATCATTTCTCGATTGATTAAGAGGGGTATCACATGCCTATTACTTCTTTTCCTAACTTCTAATTTTCTCTCGATTCAGGACTTTCTCAGTTCCCACTAGGTGTACGTGTACTTGTATATTACCAATTATATACAAAAGGGAATGAACATGAAGCATGAATTGCTGTGTTGGGCTCGTAAATGACGGAAAAAGGCAAAGGACAGATATACATGGTATGGTACGCAAGGCAGGCATATGTCCCCTTCAGTCTTCACATCCCATGTGTTGGTTCTGTACTCTCATGTGTGATCCAGAGGACCAGAACCAACCACCGAATCCAAATACAAAACCCACATGATTTAGTATCTCTCTATTCTACCACTAATTCTTACGTGTTTCTCTTTACCTGTAAATAAAAAGTCTTAAGTTCGATTCTCATCAAAAATGAATTTGAACCACATTATTACTAACTCATTGTGAGATTTAGCCTACTCACTCACATCCTTAGTATAAATAATATCGTTTATTTAAAAAAAAATTACCTACTCAATACACATATAATTGAGATATAACATCTGATTTTTTTTAATGTACAAGGAACACGTAGTTGTAACATCCCACATCGTCCAGGGGAGTGATCCTTACCTAGCACGAGGCCTTTTGGGAGCTCACTGGCTTCGGGTTCCGTAGGAACTTCGAAGTTAAGCGAGAAGGTGATCAGAGCACTCCCATGATGGGTGACCCACTGGGAAGTTGCTCGTGAGTTCCCAGAAACAAAACCGTGAGGGCGTGGTCGGGGTCCAAAGCAGACAATATCGTGCTACGGTGACTATGCTTCTAAATATCGAATTCACAGAAACCTTAACAAAAAAAAGTGAAGACAGCGGCTCATCACTTCCAAGTTATCCAATAGCAGATGCTGCAACAGACGCAAAAGTACAAATTATTCTTGATCCAGGTTCACGACATGGATACGATCATACCATACTTCACTCGACAAAGTACGCAGAAGCTAGTTAAATGTCAAACATATGGCAAAAGCACCAATCTATGAACTATAACGGGTACGGTTTGCCTTTAGAGACATTACCAAATAGATTAGCCATAGCATCGGATTGGATCATTGCATCCTTTCTCAGTAGATTGCCTAAAACCAAAACGTCCCCCTTTTGCAAGGTATTGCTGGTGGTACTCCTCCGCTCGGTAGAACTTCTTGGCAGGAAGGATCTCTGTGACAATCTTTCGGTTCACTTTCTTCTGGTGTTGTTCCAGAGATTCACGTGCTTCCTTCTCTTGCTCAGGTGTATAGAAGTATATTCCAGATCTGTATTGTGTCCCAACATCACCCCCCTGCTCATTACAGATGGATAAACTGTTATGGTTCCTTTCCTTGAGTCGATTACGCACAAATTAGAAAAATCAAATATCACATAGTAGAATTTTCTTTAGGAGAATAGCTAGACAAATATATAACAGTGTGGATTCACCAAGAGAAAGATGAATTATAGGTTCACAAAATAAGAGTTTGATAAGTGAAAACAGGGAATTA